CAAAAGACTGCTTTGTCATCTTAAACCATAGCAATGTGAATGTGGATGGAATTGGTAGAGTCAGCACGGAGCCAGCCAAACATCCGCTCGTCTTTTGGTAACAGAGGTTGCTTCCCACAAGTCTTATAGCCTTACGTACACCAATAAGAGGTGCTTGCAATTTGGGACAACATCAGGCTACCACCTGAATCACTTTATCTAATATCAGACATTGTCAAATGGCAGTGGTGGGATTTGAACCCACGCCTCCTGAGAGACTGGAGCCTTAATCCAGCGCCTTAGACCACTCGGCCACACTACCGGCAAGGAGGCCTTTCCCTTGTGTCTGCAGCTTTTTTTTTTCCTGTTTCCTGATGACCAGGAGAAAAATATAGAGTGAACAAAACAATAATGTGTGCTTTGCAGTCTGGCTTTAGATAAGGAAAACAGAGGTTTACTGTTTTCTACGTGACACTATTGCTTCCATAAGTATGACCATTCCAGGTAAATTTCCTTGATTGTTTGACTTCACATCCAAAGAGAATGTATTAAACTAAATCCTCAACTTAATCATTATCCATAAGGTGTTTACATTATGCTGCAATGTGGCCAAAGTTCTGCTAGGTTTGGATATTTCAGGATGACACTGTTTTTTTGCCAAAACCGTATGCACCCTGCTTTGCCAGTGAACTTGTCTCCTTCATTTGAATCAGAGTGCTGTGCTGTTTTTTCTTCCAGGCAGGGCAGCTGTTGGCCTGATCGCAGCCATAGAGACTCAAATATGAAGTCAATTGTCTTCAAATTATCACAGTTCATGAACTATTATTTAACGACTACATTTTATCTTAAGTTCTGTATCATGTTAACATTTCACAATTAGCCTCTTTGTGGCTTTAACATCTTTAAATATGTTTTTAATGTTACTTACTGCCAATTACAAAAGCTGTATATGCATAAGATTTGGAAAGCTGTGTTTCTGCGACTTTAAGTGTTACTCCTTTTCTGCATCTTTTCTTTGCATTTCAAAATTCTGGCAGAATATTGACTTCATCACATTATTCATGAGCCTCTAAGCAAGGCACATAAAAACCTAGATAGAAAAGCCTATACAGTATGCAGAAATTTAAAGTGGAGATTCATTTTTGTTTGGAGGGCAAATTCTCTCTTTTTTCCCTTCCTCTCTGCCTATGCCACTCTCTCTTTCTCTCATTACTCCCATGCCTCCTATCTGCATGAGAATTGCATATCAGTAGCTCACAGAAGCAACATAGTAGCTTCCTATGAGGCCCACAGCACATTCACAAAGTCATTTTAATGTGATACTGGCATATATTTACAGGGAGAAAGAGTGAGGGGAGACAGCGAGAGGGTGAAAGAGAACAGAAAGAGATTCATTGAGAGAGGAAGGAGAATAAAGACAAAATGTGCTGAGATGAAAACAAAGAGAGACTGAAAACAAGACGGCAGTCGCTGTCTTCCTCCTCTGGGCCAATAAACTGCAAATATGGCACCTGGTTTTGACTTGCAGACAGATAAAGTGCTCTTCATAGGCCAATCAGTTATGAACATGCTAAACATAGCGAAGAGATGAATTGTTCATCTCATGAAAAGATAAATGACTGAACAGGCAACCCAATCTTTGTGATTCTAGTGATGAAAATAAACAGAAAGTGCTGTTATAAGCACTTAAGATGATCCAGATATGAAGGATGTGAAGTATAAAAGTGATTGCTAGCAGGGTTGAGAGTAGCGTATTACAGCAAGGATATAGGAGATAGCTAAAACAGATTATGTCCCTTTTTACTAACAGAATATAGACCATTACCCTCTTTAGGCTGACAGAAAGTAGCCTACTGTATTCATCAGAGATTAGAACTTCAGGTTAGAAAACCAATAAAACAAAATTCAGGTAACCCTGAAGATTCATTTAAACAATGCAGATTGTTTATTGCTGTTTAAATGACCACATCTGAGCATGTATCCTCATTTTGGCACACAGGCTACCCATTTGGCTGTGACTCAGAGGCAGAGCAGGTCGCCCAGTAATTGGAGGATCAGTGGTTTGATCCCCAGCTCCTCCAGTCCGCTCCTCCTTGAGCAAGATACTGAACCCCAAATTGCTCCCGATGGATGTTCCATAAGTGTGAGAGTGTATTAAAAACTTAGTAGCAGGTGGCACCTTGTATGGTAGCCTCAGTCACCAGTGTGTGGATGGGTGAATGTGACTCTCAGTGTAAAAAGTGCTTTGAGTGGTCGGAAGAATGGAGAGGCACTCTTTTCATGTGCAGTCCATTTACCATATGTTTACAGCATGGTTTTTACGAAGGATGTCCTAATCCGATCTCAAAGACTGGCATCGGATCTGTTCAGTTGGGATCATCTGTATTGAGCTGTATCTTTGTTTTACGTCAGCTGTCACACAAGTGTTCTTACTCGCAAAGCTTCCATGCACAGCAATGCAAAGGTGCAGCTGTTGTCAACTGTTTGTTGGTCCTCTACCCCGCTCAGCTCCCACGGTGAAACACCACACGCAATAAATTATAACAAAATGCAGTATGAGACTGTTTATTTATGTTATTTACATGAGTTATGAGCACTTGTTTCATTTTAACTCTGTGTGAGAGTCTCTTGCATTTCATTGTCATCTATGGCACGTGGTGTTTCACTGCCCTAGAGCTGATGACATCACCACTCATGATGCCACAGCGAGTGCAATAAAAGCCTGGCGAACAAAAAGTCAAGAGTAATTTATTAATTTAATCTATGCACAACAAAAGGAATATAGTTCATTCAAGCTGCATGGAAGCAATAAACACTGGAGAATACCTTTTTAAAGTGATTAAATTCTCTTGAGACAGTGACAAGGTCAAAAAGATTAAGAAATAATTTGTTATTTCATTTATACTTTGCTATTCTACAAAAGAGCCATCAAGGAACAGTTTGGATGCAGGGCATTTTTTTTCTTAATGCACTGAAGTGCTATTGAATTGTCAAGCATATACAATGGATGGATTTTAGTAACTTTAAAGTAGCTACTTGAAGTGTGCACTGTGCAGCTGTATTGGAAGTATTGGATCAGGATTTGGTATTGGCAGATACTCTATACCTAATGACTCAGATCAGGAGCAAAAAAACTTGATTGAGATGGAGTACTTACAAATTTTTTGGAGTTACAGCATGGATTTTGAGCTTGAGGGTTCATTATTGACCTTGGGAACAGTAGTTGAAGTTTTGATGTCAGATGTTTCAGTTGTGTTATGACCCAGGTCATTGTTTTTGAACATAATGTGTTTGTATTGGTCTGCAGTGATCTGTCAGATGTTTTCTCTCCTCCCCTCAGAGTGTGTGCATCTGGTTGAGTGTGATTGGATGTTGCAAGGCAGGTGTTGTGAGCTGATTGGACCATTTGAAGAGACTACTGTCACCGGATTGGTCCAGGGCATGACTGAAGATTTTTAAATACCATCTGATGGATGCCCTCCCCTCCTTTCACCTCTGCCACTTCTAAAGAAGCCAGTACTTCACTATAACTGTTGATTTGTTTGTGAGAACCTGCAGGCAAAAAACGAATGACAGTGGAAACTAGTGTGGGTAACTTCATAACTTTGTTATTTAGAAAAGCTTTCGGATCACTTTTGAGTAGGTGAGTTTAGTCTTGTTCAACAGATTACTTTTTAGGGTTATTATTTGATTTCCTTGTTTTCTTCTGTTCGAGCACTGTAAATAGTCCATTCGTACATTTTGGTTTGTTGTTTTGGGCCCTGATTTACTCTGAAGACAAATAAACTGCTTACTTAGTTGTAATACTGTGTAACTGGCCTTCTTTGGGAGTGGGAAGAGTGGGGAGTCACAACATGTTATGTCTAGGTTCCCCTAGACCGGGGACATAACAGCTGTGAACACATGAACTAAACATGGAATTCCAGTCATGACATAAATTTTATACTCCATCTGGAAAATTTAGCAGTTTGTGGACCTTGTGCTCTGGCATACAGCTTTAAATTTGTTTTTTTCTGTGTCTTGTTGAGCAGCAGATTACGTAATGCCAGGATTGTGTTGCATGGACAAAATAATACAGTTGATTGGCTGCTGGTCTGAGTGTGCAACAGGTCACAGCAGCCAGCAAGGAGCCATGTGCTTTTGGCACAGGAAACTATATACTGACTGCAGTGTTGTAAATTTTGAAAGCCACATGTCGATTCATGTGCAAGACTGTGTAGACTGACACAAAAAGCATAAAGTATACACAATCAAATGGCCACACTAGTGCCAAATCATACATGCATATGAACACACTAAAAATACATTTATGTAGAGGTTGACTACCTGAGTCAATGTGAAAGAAGTTAACAGGGTGACACAGCAACAGACTTGTAGGTTAAGACTGAACAGAAACTCAAGTAAAGGCAGAGATACATCCCATTGAGCCTCTTTG